CGGAATATCACGAAAAGAAGGATCAGGGGAGGCAGAGAGGAGTAACGGACAATTTCAACTCAATACCTATTTTTTGGGGAAAGTACTACAAAGAATGCAAACGTCGAATTTATGTAAGTAGTACTGATACAATTAGGGATTTTCCATCATTGGCGACTAACCCCTTCATAGAGAAATAGAGACCAAAAACAGCTTGAGAAACTGTTCCTGCGGCCCATCGTTTCAATTTCTTCAAACTAGCGCTTTCAAGACAGGACTCATCATCCCTAATTACTTTCCCAAATCGCAAAGTACAACCCCCCTCCCCCTTCAACATCTGTCAAGCCTCGGCAGACATAGACAGGCATCCTAGAGCCACGAAAATGATGTGCTCTCTTAATTGATGTGTACCTCCCGAAGACACCTCTCAAGCGCTGGTGTGCCAGCTGGGTGGATATCAGGAAAATTAATCCTTATTAATTAACTGATAAAGTTCAACGACTCATAGACCTTTGAATCTATTTAGTTAGAAGATTCGCTAACGTACTCGAACTAAAGCAGAATAATCTGACCTCTAATTGGAGTGCGAGCTTTGATGTTTAGGCTAGTACACCACTGATAGAGAAAAAGAAGGGTGCAATGAAAAGGTCCGGTGGTACAGTGACTCCCTTGGACTTAGAGTTCCCCCTTCTCCTCGAGAAGCAAATTTAGGACCGAAATGGTTCAGCTCAGAAAAAGGTAATGATCAGAATGACGACTCCGCATCCATTCTAACTCTTTTTCACTGACTCTATGATTAAAGGCGTTTTTTTCTGCTGAATGTGGTGGCTTGTCAGTTCGGCAAAATACTCAAAAAGATAACAAATAGCCAGCCTTTTTGTTACCAGTTTTGTCCCCCGGCAAGGGACGCCGGTCCTCTCAACTGGATATGTACATACCTCCAGGCGAGGTCTCACTGCGAAATTGTTGCATGAGTTCCTGATGGCTTCGACCAGATTTCTGTTCTGTTTTGCTTTCGAACGCACCCTGTCTTGCAGAACGTGTCCAAGTAACAAATAAGTAAACAAATAAACGAATAATATGGACAATCCCATGCGCGGTACTTCACGGCAAAAGCTTTTTGTAAACACGAGCCTGCCTCGGCATCAGTCACGATGACTTTGAAAGAGGAGCTCTGAGTCATAGCGTTCTGGGAATGATGTCATAGTACTTCACCGTCAGCGGCTGTCAGCGTCAACGGCGTCTTCGAAGAGGGAGGGGGAGGGATGTTATCCCAGGTACGTCACGACAATGAAGAAAAGTGGTCGGTTGGCAAAACACCTCTTCCCCTTCCTTTAGTAAAAGCCTTTTTTAAAACCTCACGTTCCCAAGCTTGGATTCATAAGCTGTGGTTTGGTCGCTCCGATCGCGCGAACGATGTGGTTGAACACGCTCCGAGCGACTAAATCGCGAAGTATGAACACGTTCTCACCCCTGATTAAAAAGAAGACCAATGCGGTAAAAATCCTTGTTCGCTCCCGAAACTTCTACACCGCTTCAGCGAGCCGAATATGACTTCCCTGCTTGGCCTGAAGAGAATGTTTCTCAAGGATAACAGGTATTAATGCTGTTGTCAGCACCTGTTATCCTAAGGGGACAACGATGTTGCAGCGAGTTTCAGCCCTAACAACCCTGTGTAAACATAAAAGACCAACACATTTATGATTTCAGTGAGCGAAAGGCCTTTTGAAGGGGCGTGTTTGGGAGTGCTGCCACGGCAGTCGTCCAGAACCGGCACCCGTTGCTGGAAATGCTGCTTCCACGCCCCTTTACACGCCCTTTCGTTTACGGGGATAGTGACCATACGTCGCAGGCACTTACAAGTAAACATAAGAAGAACTTACTTGCCTCCTCCATGATCTTCATGACTGTGATGCAGGCGGCTTGTGGGTCTTCAGCCACGTTGATATTTCCATGGAGAGAAACCCGGAACAACTTATTTGTCGCCAGCGGCTGGTCCCACGCGCGCGCAACTTTGAATTCAAACGCGCTGTGTGCATGTGCACAACACTCTGAACGCCGTAATCTCTCCTGGTCTATTATATACGAACGAACGAATAAACTATGTACTGAATGGATAACCTTATTTTCTCTTATAGTGGGGAAGCGCGCTGCTCCAGAGACACGGTGTCACATGCTGGAATCCACACAAGTTGATTATATCAGTTTTTCTAACATTCTCTTTTGACTACATTCTTTTTGCCCCTGCATGTTCCATCAGAACGGCGATCTCATAGGTGAGTTTTCACATTTCCTGAATTCTAATATTTGTGAATGCGTCGCCATTTTCTCCGTGCTTTCATTTTCGACTCATTCTACATTACCCTTTCTTGAACCTGTCTTGCATGCACTTTATATATCCCCTTCACATTACCATTGCTTTGTGGCGTAGAGAATCATCAGGTTTCTGTCATGGCTTCCGAGATATTCGCGGTGAATGCTGTTACGCGAACCCTTCGGAAAACCACGAGATGACCTGAGGTGTTGAGCAAAACTTCTTTAGGCAGCGTTCAGACTTTTAGCGCTACGCCGCGCTACAGCTGTAGCGCTACTGTACCGAAGTCCAGCTTCCATTTTTGTTTTTTTTCGGAATTCAATCCCTTTCCCTTCATTTCTCATTTTATGTGTTCCTGAGCCCCTCTTCCTTTTCAGGGAGGAGGATGGGGTGTGGGGGGTTGCCGAGGGTCGTGATCACGAGTATTATATTGGTTTGTGTCACTGGCGCCATCTAGCTGGACTTCGGTACAGTACGCTACAGCTGTAGCGCGGCGTAGCGCTAAAAGTCTGAACGCTGCCTAAAGAAGTTTTGCTCAACACCTCAGGTCATCTCGTGGTTTTCCGAAGGGTTCGCGTAACAGCATTCACCGCGAATATCTCGGAAGCCATGACAGAAACCTGATGATTCTCTACGCCACAAAGCAATGGTAATGTGAAGGGGACATATAAAGTGCATGCAAGACAGGTTCAAGAAAGGGTAATGTAGAATGAGTCGAAAATGAAAGCACGGAGAAAATGGCGACGCATCCACAAATATTAGAATTCAGGAAATGTGAAAACTCACCTATGAGATCGCCGTTCTGATGGAATCATGCAGGGGCAAAAAGAATGTAGTCAAAAGAGAATGTTAGAAAAACTGATATAATCAACTTGTGTGGATTCCAGCATGTGACACCGTGTCTCTGGAGCAGCGCGCTTACCCACTATCAGAGAAAATAAGGTTATCGGTGCTAACGTAGTGAGGCCCACGCGGCTCGCGGCGAGTGATGACTCATCGGATATTCACTCATTGACATACTTGGAGCGTTAATCTAGCAGCAAAATTAGAATAAAACAAACAAGATTCACCGGAAACTTGCTGAGAAATCCCACAGAAGCTGAAAACAACAAATGTTTGATCTTTTATAGTCAAGAATCAACAAAAAGGCAACAATCGTTTGTATTTTAGGCAAAATCTTCCAGCCTACAACTGTTTCTTCGCACTTTTCAGCCTTAACTGTTTTAGCTTTTGAATATAGCTAGGACGGTGTTATATCCATGTCCTAAACATGAAATTATTTCTTTTTTGCGAGGAGGAAGCAGAAGAGTAGATGAGTCATCACTCGCCGCGAGCCGCTTGGCCCCTCCCAACTACGTTAGCACCAGGTTATCCATTCAGTACATAGTTTATTCGTTCGTTCGTATATAATAGACCAGGAGAGATTACGGTGTTCAGAGTGTTGTGCACATGCACACAGCGCGTTTGAATTCAAAGTTGCGCGCGCGTGGGACCAGCCGCTGGCGACAAATAAGTGCGTTCGGTGAAACCGGTCAACGTTCATCGTTAACACTACAAAACCTTGTCCATATCGCGGAATCTTCTAAACACAATTCCTCAGAATCCTTGTGGAAAGACCTGAAACAAAGTCGAATTTGAGACCAGAACGGTTAAAAAAAAAAAGTTGGATCGAGGGACCCTCGTAACAAACCTTGGCCGCAAAACAGTTGCATCTACTCCCAAGGTGCAAATATTTGCGCCATTTGCTAGCAGAACCTGCATCTCTCCAATAATTTGACCGTGCTGATCGATTCAGTTCCACACCTTTTCGAGGACTATTCAGTCCAAAAGACCCACGGACCGTATATAAAAAGACGTATAGGCAGCGGTATCGTACGTAATATCACACTGACTGCGGCATATCCCACGGCACGTCATTATTCCGTTGCCTCCATCATAGCGTTGTGGAAAATCTTTCTTTTTATTGTAAGTACGACTCTCCTCCCCAATTTTATTCTTGCAAACCTCTCTTGCAAGATTCGTTGCTTAGTAGCCGTATGCGACCCTATCTTTGTGATTTCCACAACGGATGATGTCCGCCTCGACTCACCTTGCAAGTTTTTCTATTCTATATTGAAAAGTTCCTTTAGCATCGTTTTTGAACACCTTTCCTTGCCTTTCTTCGAATTACATGTTTGAGTCTTTGTATCTCTTCTGAGAATTCTTTAGCTTGCGTTTATACTTCACGACGCAATGGCAGGATAGGAAAATTGCGGAACACATAGAATCCTTGGTAAAGGTCTGCCTTTTCAAACGAGTCAGAAGGAGGCCGTTAAAGGGCTAGGAAAATCAGTCGATTGGTCGAACCACCCAGTGGATTCAGTCGTACGTTTCCAGTCTTTTTCGTGGACTCCAGATCACAACCTATGCTTTCCTTCTCGCGCATTCTGCGAATATGCGATTCTCCACTTTTGGAATGTTGATTATCTAAAGCTTCTGTTTGCTGTTGTGTAGAACAAGCTACGCTGAGTGAGCGGCTTTCGGAACTGCAGCAATTCGAAACCTTCCCTCTTGATTGAAAAAAGGTTCACCATCCGAACCTCCCCCACTTGTATAAAAACCTTTTCTCCGTTATGTCAGTCAGGGCTTCTCAAAGTGCCGCCACCTTTTTTGCGCCGACAAAACGTTGCTTGTTTCTGAGAATACGAATTAGACTTTGTTGTTTCAGATGTCGGGTATTAACAATACTATAGAGGAACTACGAGAGAAAGTGCGAGCTCTAACCGCCGAATTGAGCTCGTACAAGATTGAGTCGAAAAGTATGGATCACTCTACCGTAGTTCAAAAACGACAGAAAATCGAGAAAATGAGCGCAGAGGTAACTTTTTGAGCTTAATCCTTTTTTGATCTTGAGGAATCTTAGTAGTAGTGAACAATTGGTAATGTTCTGTACATATTCGATTTTGTGGTCAAGGCTTTCAAAGGTCGTGTTAAGGTCGTTGATTCCAATCCGTATAGTCGACTGATGGCATTGAAAAGGATGGGTATAGTGAAGGACTATGAAAAAATTCGAGAGAAAACGGTGGCCGTAGTGGGAGTTGGAGGTACGTTTCCGCACAACTGTCTGAAAATTGTAGTTCTTCTGATGCCGTGTTGTCATCCTCGGCACCTCGAGAAAAATCTCACGATATTGTGAAAGTCACGACTGCCTCCCACAAGCGTTCCTCGAGTGGTCGCGATTCAATAATGAATCGTAATTCATTAGTTCGACTGGATTCTTCCGTAATCGTGGTTCTCCTCACACCACATTGGGAGGCGCCCTATTTTTGTGATACATCTGACGTTTCATTTCCAGGTGTCGTAGCGTGTTTAGCCGCAAATGCTACACAGATGCCTATTGGAAGCTTTATTTTTTTTTTTTTTGTTTCTTTTTGACTACGATAAAGTGGAATTGGCGAATATGAATCGACTGTTCTATCAACCCCATCAGTCTGGTCTTAGTAAAGTTGAAGCAGCGAAAGACACTCTTGTGTAAGTAGATTTGTGATTGCTGCCCTGTTGTGCCGCCTTCCTACTCGTGCGAATAATAATGATATGTCTCGATTCGATCAATGTTACGCATGACTTTTCTCTGGCCGACGGATGCTCCAAATCACGATTTTCTGTCCGAATCTACTGCAAAGTATATATGACTGCTTTAAATCTGTCGATCCGCCTCTCTTTCCACCTTTTCATGTCTTTTTGGCGTTTCTCTTGATGCTCTGTTCTCACCCCACTGGAACCCAGAAGGTCGTCCTTTATGTGTTGTTAGGCTTGTGAAATAATGCTCTCAATATAATCACTGGTAGAATTAGCTTGAGCTAGAGATGAGACACTAGCTGCATTGAACTTTGGCAATGTTTCTCACCAGTTGCTGGAATTTACGATGGAATGGGATCGCGTTCCTGCTCTGCACGCACTTTGTGGGTATTGACCGGCCAGCCACGTCACATTCGCGTGTTTCAAAGCACCAATAATGGATATGGCCTGCGAATGTGACAGGGCAACATGCAGGGGTGATGAAGTGGAGCTGTATGTAACCTTGATTCAACTGAAGAGCATATCATAGGTTTGTAAGCTGCTTATAGAGCATTTCCTGGCTATGGAGCAAACTTGATAATACGACCTTAAAGCACGTAATCTTTACTCTCTACGCCCACATGGGAGAGGTAGTATTGGTTCACCACTCCCTCTTCCACGGCCGACCACCTTACAAAGCTCTGCTGGAAAGCTGCCATGGAACGGAAGGAGGAGGGGGGGGGGGCGGGTGGTAGAAACCTACCACCATAAACATGCCCTGACTGGTGATTCTCATTCGAGCCCACTCCTCTCTTGCAGGCCTTCTCATCTCTCATGCCTTCCGTCTAAGCCCATCTCTTTCAAAAACTGGTACTGAAGACAGTAATGAGAACATTCTGCGCGATTTTCTTCGATCGCGCTCCGATGGCCACAATCCAACGCCAGCGGTCACTCCACAGCTATACCTTAGTTTGTGGAGGCAAAAAAAAATCCTTCTTTATTACATTCTGTAGCCGGATGAATTGATCTACTCAGGCAAACAGAGCGCCATTGACGATTTTTTTGACCAAGCACTGTCACAACTTTTTTCAGGCATATTAACCCGGATGTGATGATTGAAACGCATAATTATAATATTACTACGGTGGAAAACTTTAACAAATTTGTGGACAGAATACGGTAGTTTCTCGCTGTTGACCTCTCTTGCAAGACTTTCTCTTTTATATGGCATCTATTCATAATTTGATTTTCTACCAACCAATTCAGACATGGATCTTTGACGGGTGGAAAAGTGGATCTTGTATTGAGCTGCGTAGACAACTTCGAAGCCCGGATGACCGTTAATACGGTATGTCAGTTCCGAAGTTTCCAACAACGTCATAAGTACTTGGCAAAACCTGATATGTTTTGTTGAGCTGGTTTCATTATAGGCGTGCAACGAAGAGAATCAAGTCTGGATGGAGTCCGGTGTAAGCGAAAATGCCGTCTCCGGACACATTCAGTACATCGAACCTGGTCGAACTGCCTGTTTTGCTGTGGGTGTACAGTTATTTCATTCTATGAATTTGAGTCGAGGCGCATCACCAGGTTAAGTGAGAGGCGGTGTTAGTATGACCCCTCCCCCCCCCAAAGGGAGACTCTCGGTACACCCCCTTTCACATTTTATCGCTCAGACCCCTTAACCTTTCACCCAGCTCGAAGTTTCCTAAGATTCTGCTGTAGAGTATGGGTGTGATTTTGATATTCTCACATATTCTTATTTCTTCAGTGTGTCCCGCCACTAGTCGTCGCTTCGAACATAGACGAAAGAACGCTGAAGCGTGAAGGTGTTTGTGCTGCATCACTTCCAACGACAATGGCTGTTGTAGCTGGTTTTCTCGTTCAGAATACTCTGAAGTAAGCTAAATTCCAACTATTTGGTCTTTCATTCTACATTGCTGTTTTCCAAATTGCCTAGACAGAGCTCAAGTGTTCTTGTTGCTTAAGGTACCTTTTGAATTTTGGCGAAGTGTCTATGTATGTAGGATATAATGCACTTGTGGACTTCTTCCCTCGACAAGAAATGAGACCAAATGATCAGTGTGATGATCGTTTCTGTAGGCAGCGGCAAAAGGAATATCAGGTTTGTTCATCGGAACTATGAGTATTTCTAGGTGCAGTTTAGGAGGGGGTACACTTCACGAACTGTGGCATTTTGAAGCTTCCTTAGTTTCTAGTCCATGTTAACTAACAGGTCTCACTTTGTGGACCTGTGAACCTTTGAGAAGCTAGGAGGGGGGGTGGTACAAGTTAGCCTTTCTGATTACAGAGAATTCTCAGAACGACTTGTACGATCCACTGGGTACCACTTGGTTGCGCTCCATATGGCGCCTAACTTCCTGTTTTGAATATATGGAAAGAACAAAGAAATGGCATGGATCTGGAGATCTCACCATTTTGTAACTAAACAAGAGGTCACAGACCTTCACAAAAACAGGGCTTGACAAGGTGCCAAGAGTTGACGCTTCTTAGGCAGTCTAAGCCCTTTCTTGTTTTTCTTTCGATTTTTTGAAGAAAGCCAAACATCTGTCCCTGTGCGAGTTCTTTTTGTTCACTGAAATTGAAATTGGAACATTCTACAATTGTGGCGAGATCTGTTAGCGTTGGTTCGCATTTAAGTAGTTTTGGTGCACCTAAGGCGAAGTTGGCTACGTTTTCAGACTCTCGTAACATTCGCGAATGTTCGTGTGGTTGTATCTCACTGTAACGCTAAATTTCCTCGTGATTTTGATGATTACTCAACTTAATCTAGTCTGGACGTGTGGTTTGTTGTAACCGATGTGGAATGCTTTCAGGCAAAAAAGGCATCCGAAGCCACTGTCGAGATACCTGCTACTCAAGAGGCTGGAGAGATTTGTTCACGGAGGATTAATTATTGGGAATCTGGTATGGCTGTTCATAATTTATATGTCTTGACTTTATGGCTTAACTTGATTAAAATGAAAATCCTAATGGCACATTACACAGTGGCTCTGTATCGGTAGGGGAGGCGGTCATATGGCGCAGTTACATTGCTACTGATATGTCATGGCAGCTCATAGCATCTTCCAAGCTGGGGCATCTCGTTTCTGTTTCTCGTTAAACGTTAAGATTTTCGAGTAATTTACTGTGATTAGGACCCGGCTAAGGGAGGTCCTAAATGTCATTGCCTCGCTCAAGCAGAAAAAATGTGATTGTGCCACATGACCAAGCAGAAAAATTGGTATTTTGTTGATTCAGACGAATCGTCCTGCTGAAAGGCGTTTTACATGTCGTATCGTGACATGGCGAGAACAGTTGATAGCGCCCATACGACATACATACTCTCTTCTATGTAGATAACTTCTGAAACGCTGTTTTAGATACGAAAAAAAAAGTTTGACAAGTTGTTTTCCAGTTTTTTTGAGGCCCATCCGGCGTTCACGCTGATGATGCTGACACCTTCTGTGGACAAGAAGTCCTTTCCGCGACCATAGAGAATGCACTGCTTTCCCGGCCCAGATTTTCGTGATAAGGGCGTTAGCCGTTTATGACGAAGACAAGGCAATGCCGCGCACCACACCCAACGTTCGTCTATAACTATTACATGATGGTGCCTCCATTACCGCTTTAGCCCTTTTTTTCGAGTGGTGAGTGTGCGTTTTATAACTTTGCGTCAGAGTTGCACGCGGGATAGTTAGAGGCTAGCGTATCCGTTTAGGTTTGAGGCTTATTGCGGCGGTTTTTTTACTGTCCGAAGGAGTTCAGAGCTTGCGAAAAGCTCGGGAAACGCTGGTTACAATGCTCAAACGCTCAAACTTGTGAACGCGCCTCTAGAGTTAAATGGTAAGAGCGAAAGAGTTTGAAGGTTGCGAATGTTCAGTAGAAATTCAGATCGGGAGGTGGTCCTATCGAGGGCATCAGGGACGTTTTTTTCTGCTTTTTTCATCATTGTTGAGTTCCATTCCATTTTGGATTAGCGTCTGAGCCCCTTCCGATAAGTTTTGATGGCGTAACGTGCCTTTAGCCAAACCCTAGCACATAGTCTCAATACCACTGTGGATTCATGCGATTTTATTTCAGAACTCGTTGACGAGTCGAAAGTTGAGGAAAAGACTACAACGGTTGGAAATGGACTGGAATATGCGTATGAGCTTCCCAAAGAAAGCGAAATTGAGATCGAGGTTTGTTACTGAAGGACTGCTCGTATTCGCTGATAAAATCACCAGTCATTTAATATTATTAGAATAAGAAACGGCTGAAATTCTCCTCCAACATTGATCTGTTTAATTGTACTGGTTTAGCCCGCATCAGAAGAACCGTCAGAAACGTCCAAACAGGATCTGGCTGCTCTTATGTCTCAGCTAAAGGGCCTATAGAAGATCACGCTGATGCTTTATTTCGGTCAGTTCAACTGTTGCGTGGAAGCTTGATAATACGTTAGTGTGGAACTCATTTTCTGTCGCTCTGTCTCCTTTCAATTTCAAATTGTGATATTGATGTTGTTGATTTTATGGTGTCTGTTGGGAAAGATATTCATAGCATCTATTTATTTATTACGAATAAAACAACACTATGAACTTGTGGACCCGTGCAAAGTTGATTCAACTCGTCAGTACATATACATACAGTAAACCTTGGACAAAAAATATCGAAGGCTTTCGTAAATTCACAACATACAATTGCTTGAGAAATAAAGCGTAACCGGTTTCAATGCCGTGGGATCGCATTGGAACTAACACCTTAGACTGAAGTTCGTAATAATTTATTAAAAGTTGGAAACTGCGCTGTGACTGACCCACCGTTTCCTTTGAAGAAATATTAGGTAGCGTTCAGACTACCCGAACGCTGCCTCAGGCAACTGCTCGAAAAAAATGGGTCTCTTACGTGTACGAGCACAAGTCCGCAAACGGAGAGGACTACCACTTTCGCCGCTTGAGTATGTGACAAGGAAGTAATAGCACGACAAGTGTTTTTGACGTCTCCGCCCACCATTCGACACGCCATATCGTCACGGCATACGTGCCAATTGACTGTGCCCCCACTGAGTTAGTTAGTATGGGCTTTCCCGCGAGTCTATATCTGAAGTCACCTCTTAAGGACCTGTAGGATAGCAATAAAATCGAGCAGTAATCATCTAAGTAAGAGCCCGATCAAGCAACACGTATGGCGTGGCCATATGGCGTATTGAAAGGTAGGCGGAGACATCACAAGCATCAAGCTGAGATC